TTTGACGCTATCCATGAAACAATCCATTTTTCCAATTCTTCGAAGGATTGAAAATCGAACGGAATAGGTGGAAGTCAGAAGGGGCGACATCTGGGGTATTCGGCGGGTGGGTCAAGACTTCCCATTTCAGAGTTTCCAGGTACTTTTTGACCACTTTTGCGACGTGAGGCCGAGCATTGCCGTGTTGGAGGATGACTTTGTCATGTCGCTCTTGATATTGTGGCCACTTTTCTTTTAGCGCGCGACTAAGGCGCATCAGTTGCGTTCGGTAGTGAACCCGGTTTTAAGAGTTCGTAGTAAATTTTTAAAGGTTTTTTCCCTTCCACCACCATGTTCGAAATCGAAATCGCCATTTTTAAAACGTTGAAACCACTCCCGACACGTTCTTTCTGAGAGCATTCGATGCGCTTCAGCTGCATTTTTTTTTTCGAATTGTAACAGAAAAGTAAAACTTTCTGCAAATGGCGAGAATTAGGCACATAAACGGACATTTTTGAGCGTGAATAATACGAAAACAAGAACAACTGTCACTGAAAAGGCGATGACAATTCGTTAGGCACTGTCCACACTCACTTTAAAGGCATTATCATCTATGTATTTCAACCAGCCTCAGCCGGTACAGCCACCTATCGGAAAACGGCGGAAGCAAAGTTGTACACCTGATACAATTTTTCTAATAGTCCTCTAAAAGTCCTAAAATATATGTTTGTAAAACCAGCTTTGCAACAATTTGTCGTTTAGACTTTCAGTAAGGTTGACTTAAGGATGACGAAAATCAGTTTAAAATTATTTTTCCATATTATCTCAACATTATTATAGAGTTTATGCGAATACATTCAAATAGAAACCAAGAAAAAGGTTTATTTTTCTTTTTAAACGACACTAACATTTAATTTTGTGCATCGTTGATGCTTCCGAAAGCTTAAAAATACATTATCTTCGCAGTGACAGTTGCAACAGCCTTGCTTGGCAAAGTTGTAAGTGGCTCATTTGGTTGCTTACTAGTAAATTTAAGAAATCCCAAATCAATTTTGAATCGTTGAAACCATTAAATTTACTTTAGCACATATCTTTAGTTGCAGCGCCTACTGTTTTTCATATGATCTTTTTCGTTGTCCATCTTCCATGCGTCTTTTCACTAAGCAACTCAAATCAAAATGAAGTTATTTTATGCTTGATTTACAGTTCGGACTGTCACCTTTCCAACGATATGATTCGAACGGCATCCAGCGGAATCGGGCACGAACTTATGCACTCATCCAATATATCATTCATATTAAAATATTAATATTATTTTCATTTTAAAATTGACGAAAATTCTATCATATGAAAACCAATCAGCTGTTTTTTCGAACTTGTGCAACTTCCTCTTCTCTAGACCCAACGTCACAATTGCGCTCTCTCGTAACTAATTTTGCTGGGTTTTCAGGCTCAACGATTATGATAGAGTAAAGTTCAGTAAAAATTTTTGTCGCCGAACAGAATAATTCTCAGAATAATCAGGCCACTTGTTTTTACAAGTATAAAGTGTTTTTGTTGTTGTTTTTTTTTTTTTTTTTTGGTTATTTTTTTTTTTTTAATGAAAAATGTTTTTTTTTTTTTTTTTTTTTTTTGGTTATTTGTTTTTTTTTTCTAAATTAAATTCCGAAGGCAATACAGATATTAAGATTAATTTAAAGTTGCAAAATTACAGTTAAAAAATTTTAATAAAATTTTTAAATTGTGTCGTTGGCATATCGAACAAAAAATAATGTACTTAACTTTGAGAGTATCTATAGTATTGTATGTACAATAGTAATCGAAAATTTGGTTAAAAGTGGAAACTTCAATTTTTAAGTTACTGCAGAAGGTCACTTCGCGAAAGCAGCTCATTGAAATTCTTGTTTGGTGCGTTTTTTGACTTGACTTGATTACCATAAACCTACTTACATATGTACACATATGTGTATACTACTGAATGCATGTTAAAAATTTTTCAAAAAAAATTTGTTTTTATTTAGTTTTGTATGAATTTTTAATGCAAAAGGCACAACAACTACATTTGCTACTTAAATACATACTCGTACATATATACATGCATATGAACTTAGCTTGCTGCCAGCACAATCTAAATTGTAACATCTTCAACGCCTAGTAAATAATTATGCATACATTTAATACACATATACATACATACAAACATACATACATATGTATTGTATATACAGACGTCTCATGTTTTCTTCACTCTTATTTTTTTTCTTTTTATTTTCTTGTTTTATTTTCGCTGAATGCTTTGATTTTCAATTTTCAAGTTTACCCCGTTTAACTTGCCTTCTGTAATTATTGTTGTTTTTGTTGTTATTGTTGCGCCATTGGTTCCAAAAGCAGCATTTAAAATGCACCATTGCAAACAGAATGCATTAACATAAGTTGCAGTTTCTTTCTCTCTCTCTCTCTTGTTGTCTGAAATATGCTAGCAATATGCAAGACGCGTCAGTTAGCCAACTGGTAATACCAACAACAACAGCAACACCAATAGCAATAACAATATTTAGCTCAGGGTTATCATAAATTTTGATCGAATGCTTGACATAAAATTGAGGTCAAAATTGAAGAGAAAAAAATACTGTTTCTGGCGTGTGAAAGCAAAATGGAGTGCAAAAAATAAATAACTAAATAAATAAATAAAAAATAGTAAAAGTGTTGGGAGGGGGGGAAAAAACGAATGAAAAGGGCAGAATAGAAAGATTTTTATAGCTCCCAACCACACTTCAACATTTAGGTTTTCAGTTCGCAAAAAGAGTGCATTTGCTCAAGTGCAAATACAACTTGTGGTGGGGCAGCAAGTGTTGTGGGATTTATTTAGGGGAAATTTCATATGATATTGCAGAATTCGCATATGCTTTCCCTCTTTGCTCGTATCGGATACGAAACAAGTAAGGAAGACTAAGTTTGTATAGATGCGAATATTAATGACACGACTGCTTGTATTTATTCATAATTGTTCTCCTTTTTCAACTTCTCTACATAAACGCCATCGATTTCAATGTATTTCTTAAGCCTATGGAACCATTTCTGAAAACAGTCTTCAAAATCTTGCTTTTTAAGCTTATCAAGTTAAGTATTAACCGCATTAATTATCTCCTCGTTGCTATTAAAGACCTTACCTATCAATTTTTTTTTAGATTTCGGAAAAAACCAGAAATCAGAAGGTGCTTTATCCGGGTAATATGGTGTTGGAAGTATTTCTCCTATCCCAGAGATCGCAATAAAACTGCTCGTTATTTCAGCAGTGGCATTACACATGGTCATGTTTTCCAACAAATTTTTGAAAACTTTTGAAAAGCACTTTTCGGCGTAACGTTCTGCAGTTATCGTCTGACCCTCTGACTCTTTCCCAGTGGAATAGCAGCTGCGATTTTAGGGTGGGTGAAGTAACCTGACATTAATACTTTTGCTGCTGATTTTTTTGCTGAGATTTTACTGGTGGCTTTACTCCTACTGGGCTCCATACCATGGACTTCTGTTTGGTTTCTGGATCGTACTTATAGTACCAAGATTTAACAGCACTACCGACGTTACTAAAGTTGCTAAACTGACTATTTTCGAATTTGTTTAGGAAAAATTGAGCAAAATGCACTTGAGCCTCTTTTTGGGTCTCATTTTAATTGATGATTATTTAATATTCGCGATTCAGTCGTGGCTTTCAAGTCCAACTCATTAGTAATCATTTCTTGTGTTAATCGTGGGTCTTCGTCAATTTTGGACTGCATCAGAGCTACAGTGACGTCATCAGCTCATCCTCTGCGGAATAATGCCCGGTCTGGAATCCTGTTTTACAAATAATTTCGAGCAAATGACGGCAAGCACGAATAAAATCCAGTCCGATTTTCGACCACTCTTTACAGCAATCGTGCGTTAACGCATCGAATATTTTATTCCAAGCCGTCAATTGGTCAGAGCTTATCTGCACAGACAATTGACATCGCATAACCCCATAAAAAATAGTCTTTTTTAAGAGGCCATGCCAAAGGCGAACGATGTGAGATAACGGCTCTCACCAAAAGTTCCCTTCAATACATTTGAGTAATTTGTTGACTGTATGGCATTTAGTATCGACTTATAGAAACCTAACACATCAATATACACCAATTCAGTCATGACAAAGTCATTAATCATGCGTCGAAAGCATTTCGCATTCACTGTTACGTGACGGCCGGCTTCGGTTTTCAAGAAATATGGTCTAATGATTCCCTCGGCTCATAGAGCATTACAAACAGTGATTGTTTAGGATTTAACCGCATTACAATAAAGGCTTGTGAATTATTATCAGTCCTAATCTGAGAATTTTGGCCAAAAGTGAGCCACATCGATAAACAAAATATTCTTGTAAAAATCGATAGTTATGAGGTATTAGACAACGATATGCTTCCGTTTGGCTAACAAGAAAAATTAACACAACGAATTGAAATAGTTTCGTTTCAGCGCCATATTATCAAAACGAAATGAATTCGTTACACGTTAATTTTAAAAAGGGCCACTTGCTATGATTTAACAGCACACTTTAACGTTTAACATGATCTGTTAACGCTTTAACATTAACGAAAGTGAAGTTTTAGTACATCGGCTTCTATGAGAGAGGCATAATGATATCATCTTCAAAAGAGCGAAAAACTATTAAGCCAAACGGTGCAAGTTTCACATAAATCTTATAATAGCAAATAAGACCTTGAATTTAGTGCAAAAATGGCGGATTATCTTTTAACAAACCTAAACTCTGTTCGGTGAGAAATGTCAGCCAGTAACGAAATGTCAAAATTGCGTTCTCTCGGTGTAAACTTAATTGGGTTTTTGCCTCACCAAATGCGCTTCAGTAGAGGATGATAAAAATTGTTACTGTCCGAAAGCTCACCTTACAGAGTTTTAATGTAATTGGCACTTTTTACTCGCTTTGGCAATTTCCCGTCCAAGCTTCTACCCGATATGACTTGAACACTTTTTTAATAACAAAATCAGTGTTTACTGTTAATTACTATTCTTATTTTGCATTTAAAAGTTTTAAAATTTTAAACATAAACAATAAATGCATCTACATATTTCATTCGCTATGCAATTCACGTCTCCGCGTTGACTTTATTGAGTGACATGCCCTTTGTTTCCTTAATGAAGAGTGCAATGAAGGCCAACCCGAATACACTTGTGATCGCAAAGAACCACATGGGAATGTACAAGCCAAAGGCAGCCAATGAAATGGGAAACATTTTCATTAGAAGGAAACCGATAATATTAAAAATCACCAAACAAATGGCAGCTGCACTCGCACGGATCTAAAGAGAAATTAAATTTGTTAAATGATAACCAAAATGAAATAATGAAATAGACCCGTTACTAACCTTCGGCGGCATTAATTCCACAAGCAATACAAACGGTATTGGTATTAGACCCGAATTGGAGACAAACATAATGAAACAAACAGTCACTAGAGGCAACCAGGCGCTGACAGCGGACAAATCCACCGTTGTCTCTTCCAACAGAAAACCATATAGACCAAACACGGCCATACCAATGGCGGTAGCTGCGCAGGAGAATATCAGTAAAGGCTTACGACCGAATCGATCGACCAAAATTGTCGCCGTGTAAACGCCAGTAACCTGTACTAAGCCCACAATAATGGTATTGGTATCGGGATGTAATTCGGTGCGTGCGGCTACAAAAACGCTCGAAGTGTAATAGAGTATGCCATAAGCGCCGCAAAACACATTGAGCCACATGAGTACGAAACCTTTGCTAAACGCAATCACTGCGGGCTTATTACCTGTAGGGTTGAGCAAAGTAATTAAGAGTTATTCTCATACGAGTCTTTCAAACTATTACTTACAAAAATCACGCCACGTAACACTATCCGTATTTTTCTGATGACTAGTGACATCTTTCTTCAACTTATCAAATTCGATTTCAAATTGTGTGACGCTCTCCTTCGTCGTCGATATGTGGTTACGATAGAATTTCAATGACTTCTTAGCGCGTTTGTCTAGACCACGTTGTAGCAGAAACATTGGCGTTTCAGGGAAAACGATTTGCGATAATGCATAAATCACAGGTATAGCTATACCGAATATCGGTATAAAATGGTATGGCACACGTGCGGTGATTATGTAACCAATGAATATGCCACTATTCAGGGTTAGAGAGAAGAGTGAGGTTAGGCGACCGCGGATTCTGAAAATAAAGTGAGAATATCAATTTATGTGCATAGTATAGAGTTTTGTCAAGTTGTACACAGAGAACGTGTGATTCGAGCTTTTTATTGGGTCTACAGTCGATAATCAACTACTGAATTTATACTACTGTGCTCAGTCTTCTGAAAAAAATGTGAGTAGAAAAACGAGAAAAGGGAAGTATTTGATTTGAATCATCCGACTGAGTTCAACAGATACCAGCAGTCTCTCCAGATCTTCGATCGTCTCGTTAGGATTTAGCCATAACTTAATAAATCCATTTACAAAGCAATGAGCTTAGAAAAACGGAAGCCGAAAATGAAAAACTTTTAACATAAATGTCTCACATCAGGTTTTGGGAGAGAGCAATTTATGTTAGCGTAAAGAGTTCGTCGTGGGGAGGCTAAGCTCATTAGGATCGTAACGTGTTCAGTGAATCGTAATTATTATAAATACGGGAATTCATTGTTATAGGGTAATTAGTCTTTTAATCAACCAAGCTACATATTCGGGGTTGAAAATTGAAATATGGAAAAAATTGAATTGAGGAGATCAATGGAAAAGCAATGGCACAGGTTATTCAAACAAGGAACGGGATCCCTTGAAGACAACACGGGACCTGCCAAAACTATTAAATTGACCACGCCAAAATTTAAATAAAAAGTTGAGAAAACCGGACTGAACGATGCTTGAGTAAAGAAGACGCCACACGCTGATATAGTTGAAGTATCAGAAACAATCATTTTTAAAATCCTACACTATCATCTTAGCGTGACAAAGGCCATCATGAGATGAGCATGCTCGCGCCTTTGCCAAAACAACAGTCGCGTCGCTTTAGCTGCTCTCTATAAGTTGGGTTTCAATACTTTGAAACACCCAGCCTATAGCCCAGATCTAGCGCCGAGTGATTACTATCTGTTTCCAAAAAGTAAAAAGAAAAGAGCTGAGGCATAAAATATGTGTCATGAAGTGAAAGAGAAAGTCTGGGTGTATTTTGAAGATAAAAAAAAGTCGTTCTTTTGTGAGCCTATAAATTAATTAAATGTAACATATAAAAAATGTATCCACCTTTAAGGTGAGTGTATTGAAAAGGAAGGCTTTTTTTTAGCCTTTAGTCTTGGCCCTCAATCCGCGAACATAAAAACATTATCTTGTGTTTCAAGAATCGACGATAAGTCGAATGAGCTTGCTAGACAAGGCACGATCAAGCAGTTTCTTCGCGGAGAGTAATAGTTACCACGATTATTTGGTATTTATGTCAGAACCAGTGGAACCATTGGAACTACACATGAACCTCTCGACAAACTGAACAAAATGACATAAAAAAAAATAATATTGCGCCAAGTTGATTGAAGTACTGACGAATTTTTCTATGATAAGGCCACTTGCAGAAAGGATCAAGGACCTCCCTGAAGAGATATTGCATGAGTCGAAGAAGGAAGGAACTTTCAGCAATTTTTAATAACTCTACCCTGGACTAAGGCTCGTATTTGTTTCCGAATTCCATCGGAACTGACTCTCTCGATTATTTCATAGCTTTCGTCAAGGCAAATTACCTGATGATGTTTATCAAGAACTCGAGAAATATACAAATAACGATTCGTAGCGGCAACGCATTGTCGTCTTTAGGGAAATCGGTGCACTTTGATCCAACTTAAACCACCCTAAAGGTCTTAGTATAAGTTGCAAATTAAATCTTCTAACTATACTCACTTCGGCTCCGCAATTTCGCCAATAAATATTGGTATAACGACGTAAGTGCCACCGCCTGTGACACCAGCCAAAAAGCGGCTCACATAGAGGAAATCTACAGAGCTCGCAAAATAAACAAGTATCCAAGAGATCTGTTAAACAGAAAAATAAAAATAATTAAAAATTAATGTAAGTGAAAATTTTCGAATTTTTCAAAATAAAATCAAACCAAACTCACTATATATGGCACAGCTAAGCAATAAATACTCCCTTTTCTACCGATAAGATCCACCAATATACCATACACAATATTACCAACGCCACCACCCAACGACGAAAAGCCACCAATCCATGAGCCCTCATTCACAGTGATGACGAAATCTAGCGCCGTCTCGGTGGGCGATTGCAACTTGGCCAATATCACTGAGAACCAGCCCAAGCCGAAGCCATGGCAAAATGCGATAATGGTTACTATAAAAGAAAGTAATGAGAATACAACAAGTTTTTTTTTTTTTAATTGCTTAATGATAATTTTGTTGAGCAAATAACGTAATTAGAGTTGTAGACGAACGAATAAAAATTTGTAAATAAATAAAGATATAAATAATTATTCATATTTACATGAGTACTCTTACATACCAAGAGTATTATTTTGAGCTACGCAAAACTGAATGTAAATATTTGAGTGTTTGTTCGTGGTTATCTAAATATACGGTTTGATCGTCAAGCAAATATTTCACTCTAAAAAACAACAAAGGCTAAGACAGTTCAAAAGAAAATTATCTCAAAAAAAAACTTGCGAAATTAATGTAATAATAATTCTCTTGGATATGTCGTTGATCCACTCTTCAGAAGGAAATCTACGATATGTTTATGTTTATAAAAAAATTTCAATTAAATTAAATAAATTTTTTTTTCGAATAATTATTTTGGTTCCTGGTCCACTTATCTCTGCCATGTAGTTTCGGAGATTCAAAAAATATATTTAATAGAAAATCAACATTTATAGAATGCAAGATTGCGACAGCCGTTGACGTCACTAAACTAAGTTCACCATATACTATATACAGTAGACGGAACTTGATATTTATGTAATAAAAAGGAATAACATTTTCTTTTAAAAAATGATCTTGTACATATGTAAATTTGGGAAATATTTTCGTATATAAAATTATAAACATTTTTGTTTTTGTTCTTACGTATTGTATTAATGCCATCGTGTACACTCAGATTTCGTAAATTTTCTTACTTAAAAAAATTTGCAAAAATTTGCAAACAACAAGCTACTGTGGAAGGTGGGGTCTGTTTTGATTAATCCAGGACCCAAGTGGCCACCAGCTGAAGTGGCTAAGAGCTTTACAAAAAGGTACTGCTGCGGTGGCGTTGATTTATTTTTTAAAGCCATACTTCTTTCTTGCAGATATATTTCTTATATTTACTATGCTTATGCTTCGGGTTTATTCTAATCGCGTAGATTGAACTTGCAAGCATAAACACTTTTTCACCACGAGTTAAGGCGCCTACTCATTTTCTCTACATATGTAGAAGCGTTAACTCGGTAGCATAAATGCGGATTGAGTTGAAATCAGCTGATTAATTTAAGTCGCCGAGGTCATCTAATGGGAGGTCCAGGAAACGAGCTGTTTCGACAGGGTTGGACCAAAGGGAAAGGGGGGTTAGATTAGTTGGTTTGAGTGGGCATGTGAAGAGGTGGTTAGTGCCGTGCGGAGACCCTCCACATGCAGGGCATACGTTGGGCATGCTGGGGTCTAGTCTGGATAAGTAGAAGTTTAACCTGCTACAGTATCCAGACCTAAATTGTGTCAAAGATACGCGGGTCTCTCGAGGCAGCTCGAGCTCGTTGTTTGCTATGGGTGATGATTTTTCTCCGAGCACGTCATTCACTGGTAAGGACTCCTTGAAAGTGTTGACTGGCTCCTGGTGAATGACATTCAGTGCTTGTCTGTAAGCCGTCCTGCCCAGCGGTTGTTGCACATATTGCTGGATTGTGTCCTTTAAATCTAGTACTCCCTTTCTGATGTGCCTAGGTGGAGGTTCAGCTTCTATTAAGTGCCCATTGGGGTGCTCCCTGCAGTACCATCCCAATAGGAACTGCTTGCATAGCAAAGCATTATGTTCCTTAACTCGTAGCTTGGATGCTTCGCTGTGCTGGTGATGCTTCGGCGACATCAGGAGGTTTCTTGTCGCAGTCCTGAGGGCGGTGTTTTGGCAAGCCTGTAGCTTCTTTGTCTGCGTCTCATTCGTCTCTGGCGCCCAGATCTGTGCATAGAATTCACAAAATGGGGCGGTTAATGATTATGTTACAATTTCGCGTTTTTGTTTTAATTTTTCCGAAAATGTTAATAATATAATCACTCACACTATTTTTTTATTAGTTTTGTCCACAATTGCCCACTGCACACTTTTTCACCGCCTCAAATTTTTTAAAATGTTTTTTGCCCAAAATATGAATTGTACATATTCCAAAAGCTTTTTGGCCAACAAAGAAAAAATGCGAAAATCGGTTTCTATATAATTATTTTAAAAAGACTGTTTTTTCCTTTAGAATTCAGATAATTTAACACGTTTTCGACTTTATTTACACATGAAATTCGTATTACGAGGTGTGTTAAAAAAGTATCGCGAATTTTAGATTTTCGCGTGTTACATATAATCGAAGCTACCTTAGACCGAAACAACGTTTAACAATGATGCCGCAGCCACCATATTCCCCAGATCTGGCCCCCTGTGACTTTTCTTGTTCCCTAAACTGAAGAGGCCCATTAAAGGACGACGCTACGCTACGATTGACGAGATAAAGACGACATCGAAGGAGGAGCTGAACAAGATAAAAAAATGATGTTTTGAAGTGCTTCGAAAATTGGAAAAACCGTTGGCACAAGTGTATAGTATCTCATGGGGATTACTTTGTATAAATAAATAATTTTTGAAAAAACACAAAATTCGCGATATTTTTTGAACACACCTCGGATATGACACCAAAAGTTGAACTTCTTAGAAAATTGTTAGATATAGAATTCTCTTTTTTAATATTAATTTTTATAATTTAAAAGTTTTTGAAAATTAAAATAAATTCTTTCGACACAAAACCACCCATTCATAATATTTCAATCATAATTGTTATTAATTTAAAAAAAAATTCTATGGAAGTATCTCGAGTTTTATAGTCGAAATGTTGCATTCTTTCATAAAAAATTATGCAAATTTATTTTAAAATTTTTGGCAACCCACAAAATTGAACCAACTAGGACAAATGAGCCACTCTCGTCATAACCTTCTATCGGATAACCTTGGTAGAAACTAGTTGTATGGCCACACTTCCAATTTTACATTTCGGTTTCACAATGTGATTTTTATTTCTTTGATCATAACGCATCGCTTGAGATGTCATAGCGCCTTTTTAACGAATGATAGATAGCAAAATCATTTTTTATTAAGCCAACCAATGAATAAAATTTGAATTATCATCAAATTTAGACGAACGTAACAACCGAGTATTTAGCCACTTGAGGGTCACTTGAAAGCCCAGGGTTCAAGTTCTAGTCCTACCAACATTCAAAAATTAAAGGAAATTAATTTGCACATAGAATTAAACTAATTTCTCTTGCCGCGGTGTCCCCTCGGCAGGGAATATCAAGCTCTCGAGTATATTTCCGACATGAAAACTAAAGCTCCTCATAAAAAACAATCTGCTGTTCGGAGGTGGCTTAGTACAAACAAACGCACACCACAAATTCAAAGAGGAGTTCGACCGAAATCGTTTCAAAACAGTTAAAATGATCTATTGTAATTATTTATGCATGTAAAAGGTAATCCATTATTTTTGCATCATCATATTTTTATGTATAATACAATATTTACCACAGTCGGAGTTAATCGATTTTTGTCTTATATGCATTGTTTTGCATGATAACTTTTTGCTATTTTGAAGGTAATGTCAGTATGCCTCTCTCATAAACAGAAACCTTTATCCCTATGGGCAAAAAATTGGATCGATAAATTTTTGCAGTCTTCTCTTGAAGCCAATTATCCATCATTCGGCATAGACACGAACAAATGGTAATCACTTGTGCGAGAACTGGACCGTAAGGCATAAGCACCTCCCAAGTAAGCTCTCGGAACTTCTGGCGAGTCACTATCGACGTATGTATGTCGTTTGGCATTGCTTTGCTGAAACACAATGCCCCTGCCGTTGGTCAAAGATGAGCTCTATTAGGCGATGGCTTCTTTCAGATAGTTCAACTGCTAATTGTACATGTCCGAACCATCTCTTGACGAATAGGAAACCAAATTAATAGACTTCATATAACAACTTACTACTGCACCTATCAATCACATTATGAATACATCGGAATGTCTGGCATCAGAATTTAAATATGGGGTTACAGATATGGTAAGGCCTGGGCAGCATCACTTTGCTCGTTTCACTTAGTACACGCTACTGTAAGTACTTTTACCGCACATTATGGCGTATTTTGTACTTGGAATTACACCTTACTCACTAAAATGGCTTAGACGCCGCTTACGCGTTTATAGCTGAGCTAACAACGTTGCACCAGTGCTGGTCGATATTGTGACAGTTCACAGTGCAGTGACGTTAGAGCCAAGTTGCGAATACGATGACTGTTTTCGTTCACTAACAGACCCATATCCTTCGCTTACTTATCCAGTCTGGAGAAAGCAGAACTCACGGACTTACACCTACATTCATATATAGTCCAGCTCTACAATAACTGTATCCAGTCCGACATACGACGATTGAGAGATTGAACAACAAGCAGTGGACTTCTAACGAATTCTTCATTTCTCACCGTTGGGGTAATTATCAGGTATACAACTTTGCTTTCGCTGTTTTTTTCCAAAATTAAAAGCTTTATTGCGAAAAAGTGCTTACAAATATATTATTCAAAGTATTGTCCTTCGCTAGCGACAACTTTCTCCCATCTTTCCGGCGATTTTCGGATCCCGGCTCGAAAAAAGTAGTCCTCTTTTGACACTATCCATGAAGCAATCCATTTTTCCCATTCTTCGAAGGATTGAAAATGTTGATCTTCCAGGCCGTGTGCCATCGAGCGGAATAGGTGGAAGTCAGAAGGGGCAACGGCGGGTGGGGCAAGACTACCCATTTCAGCGTTTCCAGGTACTTTTTGACCATTGGAGGATGACTTTGTCATGTCGCTCCTGATATTGTGGCCGCTTTTCTTTTTGCGCGCGACTAAGGCGCATCGGTTGCATTCGGTAAATATCTCCTGTGATGGTTTCACCCGGTTTTAAGAGCTCGTAGTAAATCACACCGCGCTGATCCCACCAAATACAAATCATAACCTTGGCGCTGTGAATATTCGTTGAAACCACTCCTGACACGTTCTTAACTTAGAGCAGCATCACCGTAAGTTTCTGAGAGCATTCGATGCGCTTTAGCTGAATTTTTTTTCGAATTGTAACAGAAAAGTAAAATTTTCTGCAAATGGCGAGAATTAGGCACATAAAGGAACATATTCGAGCGTGAATAATACGAAAACAAGAACAACTGTCTCTGAAACGGCGATGACAATTCGTTAGGCACTGTCCACGCTCACTTTAAAGGCATTATCATCTATGTATTTCAACCAGCCTCAGCCGGTACAGCCACCTATCGGAAAACGGCGGAAGCAAAGTTGTACACCTGATATTTAAGCAAAATTAATAGAAAAATAGAAGAAAGGTCATTACACTAAGCTGCCAGCCTGGTGTGCTCTTTGGTCGGGAGGGGCGATTGAGTCTAACTTCTTAGCAAACTATAACGACTGTTTTTGTCTTGCTAGGGAAGAACACGTCTTGGACAATATGTACCATGAAACACGACAGATTATGGGATTTGCACGGCCGGGTAATCTGCCACCGAGATCTCGCGATTCGAGACCGTTGTACTATTTTGTGGGGCTACGTGAAAGGCAGTGTTTATACGAATAAACCTTTTACTCTTCAGCACTTGAAAGCTAGCATTCGTCAAGTTATGGCTGATATGCCGTCTATTTTGTGCCGGAAAGTGGTAGAAAAATACCTCAAAATTATCGAAATTTGCCAAAAGTGGTGATGCGGTCCTTTGAACGCTGAAGTTTTGCAGATATTATTTCAAGGTTCAAATTTTATAATAAAGCGGAATTTTATGAAAAAATAATAATTTTAAATTTATTTAAGAAGCCAAAAAATGTATAACCTTGTATTATAACTGCATTTTGTTTGTCTACGCATTTTCTCATTTTATTACCCATATGTGGGTCAAAGATGATTACAACCATTATTACTATTTGCATTTAATTATTCTAGTAAATCAAGGCTTTTGGCGAATGCTAGTGTTCTAAGGAATTTCTTCATAGAGATAAAAATAGAGAAAATTGGTTATTGTAATTTACATATATAAAAAACTTGAGTTTACTCGCTACCTCATCCGCCTGGAGTTTGAAAATGCATTTAATAAAGTTTGAAGTTGGTTTTCTAAATTACTTAAATTATGTAGCACATAAATTATTATATGAAATTTTTTTTGAATACTTATAAAATATCAGGTATACAACTTTGCTTCCGCCGTTTTCCGATAGGAGGCTGTACCGGCTGAGGCTGGTTGAAATACATAGATGAAAATGCCTTTAAAGTGAGCGTGGACAGTGCCTAACGAATTGTAATCGCCGTTTCAGTAACAGTTGTTCTTGTTTTCGTATTATTCACGCTCGAATATGTTCCTTTATGTGCCTAATTCTCGCCATTTGTGGGAAGTTTTACTTTTCTGTTGCAATTCGAATAAAAATGCAGCTGAAGCGCATCGAATGCTCTCAGAAACTTACGGTGATGCTCAACGTTTTAAAAATGGTGAGTTCTATGTCGAAGACAAACATGGTGGTGGAAGAGAAAAAACCTTCAAAGATTTACTACGAGCTCTTAAAACCGGATGAAACCATCACAGGAGATCGTTACCGAACGCAACTGATGCGCCTTAGTCGCGCGCTAAAAGAAAAGTGGCCACAATATCAAGAGCGACATGTCAAAGTCATCCTCCAACACGACAATGATCGGCCTCACGTCGCAAAAGTGTTCAAAAAGTACCTGGAAACGCTGAAATGGGAAGTCTCGCCCCACCCGCCTTATTCCCCAAATGTCGCCCCTTCGGACTTCCACCCTTTCCGTTCGATGACACACGGCCTGGCAAATCAACATTTCAATCCTTCGAAGAATTGGAAAAATTGATTGCTTCATGGGCAGCGCCAAAAGAGAACTCCTTTTTTCGAGCCGGGATCCGAAAATTGCCTGAAAGATGGGAGAATATATAATATATCTGTAAGCACTTTTTCGCAATAAAGCGTTTAATGGAAAAAACGGCGGAAGCAAAGTTGTACAATTTTAAGCTTAAGTAAACATGAAAAAAAATAAAATTCTGAAACATTTTTACGAAAACAAAGTCCTACACTTATTGATTAGTGCTCCAAACTTTAACACCAGTCACGAAACCGCTTCAAAAATGGGTCGATTTTGTTATGATTCAGCAGCGATTCACAGATGGATCATTCAGGTCATGAGATTTTGCTTGGTGGCTATCTTTGACATGCGTTCAAACTCTATTGATTTGAGTGATTAACATTTCTACTTTTATCTTTTTTAATGCAAAATATCGTATTTCTATTATCATCTAGCGTATTCCAATCACATTTATAGTACGCTAGGTATAGATCACTAAGCCATTTATTGCAAAAAATAATGGATTAATTCTTTCTAGAGCTATATTTGAATTTAATTAAAACATCCAAAGAGGTGCAAAGCTTTTTACAAAAAAATTTTCGCATTTACTATTTTTTTAGATATATATAATATTATATATGCATGCAGCTTGCTACCAATATTATATCATTTATTCTTTACACAATTTGATTATTTTCAAAAATTTGAAAAACGTGATATCCATCTAAAAAGTGGAATATTTTTTTATTATTAACCATTTCATAATAATCTTTATATTGGGTGTATGCTTTAATTCGTGCGGTTCTTTTTTTCGAAAATTAAGACTTTATCGTGAAAAAACGATTTTAATCCTCTGGAAACGGTGGATTGATTAACTTCTAATACTCTTGCAAATTCTTCTTGCGTCTGGCATGCATCTGCGTCGAGCAATGTCTCCAATTCGTCTTGAAATTTTTTTTGGCAGTCCGTCGTCTAATTTGAAATTGCCACTTTTAAACCGTGCAATTCATTTTTGGCACGTTCATGGTCACCATAAACGTCCAGTAAAATACTATGGCTTTCGGTAGCACTTTTCTTCATGTTAAAGTAATGAAGAAGAACTCCCCGCAAAAACACTTTATCTGGTACAAATTCTCAAGATTCTCAAATGAATGAAATAAATTGTTGTTCTCGCTAAAACAAATGACATCTACTGAAAACGACGCGAAATGTATATAGCCACTGATGAACACGACGCGAAATAATACTAGTAGAGTCCTCTCTTAGAAAACCGCACGAATTATTCAAACACACCTAATAATTCCCACCACGCTCTCTTATTCGAATTAGAGCAAACTTCTTTTGAACCAGCTACATGAGATTTCGATTATACTGCCTAAATATTGACTGCGATCGGTAAAGCCGTTCTCAAGTTATAAGTTAGAACTAAACAAGTGCACATATTAAATTTATTTATTTTTCCACATTCACACTATTTTCGAAAAGATTCAATCAAACCTCAGCAAACCACTCTTAAACCATTTTTCACCCAGTCACTTAATCAAATTTGCAGTTTTTATTTGCTTACTACACAATGATGCAAATAGTTGGCGACGGTATTCGAATTTGAAAACACCATCCGAATTTTTACATAAACCGAACATTTTGGCTCAACAACTGCAGACTGCAATATGTATGCCGGAGAGTTGATTTGTGTGTTACTTAAGACTACTAACCAGGAACTAACTGACTCTATATATAATTATGTCTGCCTTAACCATCTTATTGTGTGATTTTATCAATGTTATCAATTTTCAAATGCCATATTCATAAATACGAGTGCACGCTTACTTATTTATATTTATATATATACCATATATACTTACAAAGTATACAAGTGAGCGCATCTTGGGTTTTCATAAAGATTTTAGATTTTATAAATCTAACTGTCTGTTGCAAAAAAAAAAAAAAAAAAAATATGTTGTAAAGATAAACCTATTTAAACATCTGTTATTAAACAAGTGCGCTTTGCAATGGATTATCTGTATGATAAAAGTGTGATCGGCAAACTTCCAACTAACGGTTTTAGCGAAAAATAACACGCGTTTAGATTTCACGCTTCTAAGACGTTGGCTTTTCATTTTAATAGTGGGCATTAGGAAAATTTTTTGGATTATTATGAAATTAAAGCGGAGATGGCCAAAAATAAAAATGAGAGTCTCACTAACTCACTCTCATTTTTATTTAGTGAGAGAAGAGAATTAAAAAACGCAATTAAAAAGTTGTCTTAATTATTGAATTCATTTTAAAATGCCTTCATACAGGCCTATTCTGTCGAGGTAATAAATTTTATCCAGGTACTCAAATTTACCATTGAGTAAATTTTGTTACCATTTCGTATTCTGAGCTCACTGTTACCCTGTAAATTTTGTTACCATTTCGTATTCTGAGCTCACTGTTACCCTGTAAATTTTGTTACCAGCGAAATAGAAGGTAACAAACATATCTGATGTTTGATTTTGTGTTGTAAGTTTGAGAAAAAATAAAAAACCAAAATGGGTAGGCATATTTTAGATCTGGAATTCATTGAAGATAATGAAAAAAGTGCAAAAACCCGTATTTTAAGTAGTTTTCGAGACTATAAAATAACCCTTTGATTTGTAAGATAATGTTTTCATTAAGCTCTTTTTGTTGTCCAGGCATATTTTCCATAATTAAGTTCAAATATTTATGATTTTATAAAGAAATTAATAAAACTTTTTCATTTTTTTGTGCACCGTCTTCCATTTCGTTGTGAATATTTTTCTTTTTACTTTATCAACTGGCAAATGTAATTTGACATGAACGAAAAAAGCAAGCGCTGCCAAATTTTTTCCAAACATTGTAACCAATTCGCCAGAATACCAAATTCAATTTCGGGTCTTAAAGAAAAGTAACAAAATTTACTTTACTGGTAACAGTGAGAATAGGCCTGTTATTCGCTTTTATCGTCAGACAGCATGATAAACATTGCAAGCATTTAAAATCATAAAATACTGCTGGGAGAAAGAGAGTAAGAGAATAGATGTGAGCAGCGACGCTCTTTACGTGCACACGGCTCTTTCACGTGTACACGACCTGACTTACACATTAAAAACAAAAGGAAAACAAAAATATTTTGATCATTTGCCCGAAATTTAGAACGATATTAAGAGATAAATTAAGTGTGGACGAGTAAATCTTTCTTTATATATTATATTTTTATACTGTCTGTTTGTTAAATGAATAAAAAAGTAAATAATACGTTAAGTAAAATACATTTCTAGTGGAATTTTCATAATATTATATCCTCTATACTTCTGGGTATTTCTGGTTTTATCATCGGTTATCTGGATTCCCAACCCTAGTACAGGCAACCATAAACTACACAATTCCAAATTTCGATCCTGCGCTTTGTTGAAAGGAATTACAGGGTATCGGATGGAATGATAGAGATTCGTGGAATGGAAACGTCTTCACCTCTGAAAGGTTCGCTCAGAATTGTTTCTTCTATTACATTTCTCTGTGATGTTGAAGAATTTCCGCTGCTAAAATTACATAGTATTTAATGGGAATATCAAATATAATATGTTCATTGGGACCGCCGCTAAGTCCGAAGAATTCAAAAATTCTGTTGAATAATTGACAGAGCCACCAATACATGCCACACAGCACGCGAAACAATGGACTTATTGAGAGGCGAGTTCGGTGAACATTTTATTTCACGTTCGGGACCGGTCGATTGGTCGCCGAGATCGTACGATTTAACGAATTTAGACTATTTTTTTGTGGCGTTATGTTAAATCTAATGTCTATACAGACAAGAATGCATCAATTGACGCATTGGAGGACAACATTGAAGCATTTATTCAGGCGATACCGGAGAGAATGCCAAAATTGATCTAAGCGGATGAACCCTTTGAGGCGCAGTCACGGTCAACATTTGCATGAAATAATCTTCAAACATTATGTTATCTGAACCGTAATATCGATTTAAATAAAGATTTTACGCTTTTTTCTGAATTCTATGTGCTTTTTTAACTTTCCCTTAGCTCTTAAAAAATCACCCTTTATATGCGATGGATTCGCTTTCAATGTTGGACCAAATAGCATGGCCGTAGACATCTTGATTTGTTGCTTGGCACGTATATTTGTGGTCAATTGCATTGATCTCGTCCGCTGGTGTTGAGCGCGGAATTTGCAGGCAGTGTTGTTATGTAACAACTTCAGTCGGTCGTAACTTTTCGAGAAATGCTAAAAGTCTTTCACGAAAATGTCAATTTGTATGCCCCGAACATACCCGTCCCATACTACGCCCGCTTATATCCAAATATCCAAATCCAAATCCGGTGAAAAAAAATTTATATTTGGCGCAAATCGAGCTTAGTTTCCTGAATATGAATATGAATATACAGTGTGTCCTCAAAATAACCGAACTTTATATTTAAATCACACTAGCTACAGCGCCATCTATTGAAAATTTGCAACATTAAAAAGATACATTCATCCTCTTTCAAACGCACCTAACATCATGTAAATCGGATGACAGATGAAAAAGTGACAGTCATTTCAATAAAACCAAAAGTGTGCTAATGGTTCAAAAATAAAATGGAACAAAGAGCAAATATAAAATTTTGTGTCAAACTTGAAAAAAAAATTAATGAAAAAAGTTTATTGTGATGATTGTATGAGTCGTGCGACAGTTTATACGTGGTTTACACGATTTAAAAAGGGTCGTGAGGATTTACATAACGACCCTAGAGCAGGACGTCCAGAAACTAGTAATCGTGCTGAAATGGTGGAAAAAGTCCGTGAAATCATTGGTATCGATGCAAATTTTACTACGAGAATGTTGGCTGAGGAATTGAATACGAGTTTTTTTATGAAAAAAGGGATTTCTCTCATCGAACATCCTCCGTATTCGACTGATCTATCACCGTGTGACTATTTTTTATTTCCAAAACTGAAAGCCAAGATAAAGGGAGCATTTTATGGTGATATATCCAAAAAGTTCGGATATATTTGGGACACACTGTAGTTCAATCATTTGTCCACTTTTATTACAGAATAATATTCGGCTTGCAAATCCAAATAATTGGCTAGCTGTGTACGAATTTCAAGTAAATCATACCACTTATAGGATTTTTTCAAATAGGTGGGTTTGTGGATCAGATCCCGATTAGAAAAGTAGTCTTACTGTTAACCCAAGCAAAAAACCACCTGTGTGGTGAATTTCAAGTAAATCGAACCATAAATGAGGCTTTTTCGAAAAGGTCAGTCTCTGGTCCACTTCCCCAACTATTTTTTGCTGGTATTAACCATCAGGAACCATATAAACAATCTAACAAAATTTCAAGTCAATGGGTCGGTAACTTTTGCAATTTACCGATTTTTTATATATAAGATATTGTAATAAACAATAATTGAGAAATAATTGGAAAGAGTATTTGGCTTTAAAATAAATTTTCATAAAAATAATTATCTAATTTAAAATTTTTTGTTCAATAATGAATATAAAGGCACACGACAACCTATAGCTAACGAACAAAGTCTTATCGCCAACCGGCATGGCATATAACCAAATTGGCGGTAAATAACCCTTTTTGGCAATACTTCAGCAGTCCACTCACTATTCCTAATCGCTCGCATTTCCAACAGAAGTGTATCCGGGATTTGATTTAACCCACACCCAAAGAGGCTGCGTGCTTTCGTTTCGTCTGTATGCGGCTTTCGGATCAATGAAGCTCCGAGCGTTCACTTGCGGAGATATTAGGTGCGTTCAGCGAACTGAGCGCTCAGTAAAGATGCTCAGTGAGCGCTCACCATATTTGTGAGTGTAAAATTTTTTTGCTACTTGCCGCTGATCGGTCAACTGCTGTACGTATACAGAAAAAATCAATCGTGAAAATGTAAAAGTATTTCTACTTGAAAGCGATTGTGACGACAATTTACTAGATTTTTTGGGTTGTCAAATAGCTTTAGTTGCGCCATCTGCAGGATAAGCAAGTTTTTCAAAGAAAGAACTTCAAAACTAAGGACCAAACATTTCGATGAAGAAACTAAGACACTTCACAAATAGTTTCGGCAGTTGAAGTAGCGGTTAATGTGGTCGTTTCGGCAGTTGAAGTATCATTGCGTTCATGAAAATTAATCGCTCAGTAAAATCAGTCAATGAACATGTTTACTGAGCGCTCAGTTCGCTGAATGCACCCATTGATTCGACGTTGTTGATTCGTTCGACGTTCGTGCAAACTCTTATAACGCTCTCCTTGGTGACGCTGTATAGGAATTGCGCCAGTAATAATATGAGCTAGTATATCATGGCGTCGAAATGACCATGATATAGTTATTGGTTGTTGAGTTCCGCTGAGGGTGTGATAACTTCCTTAAGTCCTCTGAAGAACTAATCAAATCCTGTTTGAACTACCGTCGTTTTTATTTTATTCTTTTTTTTCCTGTTACATTGATAACTCTATAACTTAGTTTTTGCTTGATTCGTTGCATAGCTACATTCTTTCGTAGATTTTGGTCATCTTCTTCGTCTTAATGATAAGTTTTCATGCTTACTGAAAATCACCAATTTTTAACTTATGCTTCTTTTATAGACGGATTGTAATGACGACATTGTACAAATAAATTCATAAAATGTGACATTTTTGTATCGAATTGAACCCTTTACATACATACATACACGTATGTATGTGTATAAAATATACAACCGCACATAATTTATAGCGGGAAAATCCCAAGGTTGCGAGATGTGTCTCTTTCAACTACTTATTTATTTAGATAAAGAATTTTATTTTTGTTTAAATTTTTTAAATATTTGTTTTAAGATACACGCGTGAATATTATTTATGAGAGAAATTCACGAAAGTGAGCTCAAGAAATTTATGTCTTGGTGTAAATTATTCACAATTTTTAATGACTTATAAGTAAATATATAATATATCTTCTTCTTTTTTAAATAATTATATATAATATTAGACAAGAGCTGTAGAATACCTCTGATCGCCATTTAAATAAGAAATATAAAATAAAATCAAATAAACAATCTTCAAGTGATTTATTCAACAAATAAACATATATAAATGTTTGAATGTTTGCATGCTCGTTTAGAGTGATCGCCGAATGTTTACTGGAGGAGCTTGTATGAAAAATTTTTATTCCGGATAGTGCGGCAGGGACTGATCATATATTGTTGAAGTAAAAAGTCCGTTCGGTTTTTTTTATTGATTTTTCTAAATATGATAACTTTGTGTACATTTTTCCAATTCAAGTCAAATATGCGCCGTTTTGTTTGTAAACTTGTTGTCAATGAGATGCCAACTTCACTATACCCCACTCTTAGAAGGCTACCTCCCTATTGGCCAAAAACTCGGAGAACCAATTTTCGCAGGCCTCTCTTGAGGCCAACTTCTCACCATTAAGCGCGTTCGCAATGGACAGGAAAAGATGGTTATCACTTGGCGCCAGGTCCGGACTATAAGGTGGGTGTATTAGGACCTACCATCCGAGCTACTGGAGCTTCTGACGCATCACCGAAGACATGTGTGGCCTGGCGTTGCCTGATGGAACACAATGCGGCCTCTGTTGATCAAAGATGGCCTCTTCTGGATGAGTGCGGCCTTCCAGCGGTTCATTTACTGGCAGTAGAGGGCCGAGCGTTTGAATATAGAGGAGCAGCTCATAGTAGTTGATTCCTTGCCAATCCCACCAAATATACAGCAAAACCTTCCTGGCCGTCAATCTGTTCTTGGCCACCGTCTGGGCCACTTCCCCGTGCTTTGACCACGACCGTTTTCACTCGATATTGTCGTAAGTCAACCATTTTTCATCGCCAGTCACAATCCGCTTCAGAAACTGGTCGATTTTGTTGCGTTTCATTAGAAATCCGCAGATGGAAATTCGGTCCAACATGTTTTTTTGCGTTAGTTCGTGTGGCACCCAAACATCGAGCTTCTTTTTGAATCCAAGGTTATGCAAATGGTTCCAAACGGTTTTCTGTATTATCTTTAGTTCCTCTGCAATTAAATAAGTGCTCACGTGACGGTCTGTTTCCACTATTTCCATGATTTAATCGCAAGTTTCGACGACAGGCCTCCCAACGCGTGGTGCATCCTTGGCATTGAAATTACCGAAACGGAACCTAGCATTCATAGCATCACTCACAGTATCAGGCCCATAAACTAAATTAATTTTTTTCAGCCGCTTTGGCTGCTTTTTCGCCTTAAATTATAGCGAATTTTCTTTTTGCTGCTGTCCCTCTTTGACGGCCGCTCACAACAAACAGAGTCAATCAATCGAAAAACTGTCAAAGACAAACTTTTTGCGCGAATAAACACGTTTTAAGCGCCGTATAGTATGGCAAGGGGACACGTAACACTAGTACTATGGACAATAAAAACCGAGCGAACCTTTTACTTGTCCAATATTATAAGATAAGAAGGTAGTTTTTTCGAGTTTTGTTCATTAACTTTATTACTTAAAAGTTTAGAAATATCTTCATCAAAATATTTACTTGACTTGAACCATTTTGAACAGAACGCAAGGACCACTTGATTTGAGGCAATAACCTCACTTGTTGCTACGAGAGCGCATATCCTTAGATGGGGTTGCATATGTACAGAGATCCAAGACTCAAGAGCATTGCAGCAAATAATATTGATTGCTGAGATTACCAAAAGTATCATCCTTCTGGCTACCGAACAGTCCCATACCGCTGACAAAATGCAAATTTTTTGCTCACCTTTCTTCTCAAGGGATGCAGGATGGTTGTTAGTCTGAAAAAAGTGCCACAGGCCAGTTGGCAGTGCAGAGCAGAAAACATGAGTGACAGGCTGGAATAACTCCTCTGCTTTTCACTGTCCTTATTTAGAACTCTTCTTAGATATCTTAGAACTTCACAGTTCCAAGAGCTAGATGAATTAACAAAATTAGATATCAAAGCGCTCTTAAATTTTGCGCCTTCAAGGCTTTATGTACACTATAGCTTGAACTAAACTGAACCTCCATCTGGCGTTACAAAGTACAACTCACAGCTCCAAGTATGGCGTGACAGTCAGTTAACCTAACCAAACTTTATCTAAGTGTGTAATTCACTTGAGAGCTAAAGTCTTCCAGACTTGTTCACGGTAGTAGCCTTAATGCTCCTGCCGCAAGCAATTCATTGACTACTTAAGTGTAAAAGTTGAACGATGAATGCCGTGATACTAAACATTTTTAAAGATCTATTTCTTCTTCTTCTCATTTTTATTCACATATTTGTTTTTGTTTTTCGTATACCTGAAAACATTTTTTTTTTGTTTACCAATAACCAAATTGTATTTCTGTTCTTTCTTTTCCAGTATGGCGTCTTCATGATACTGCTGCTCATTGCCGAAATTGTTGCCTGCGGTTTGGCTGCATTCTACAAGGAAAAAGTCGGTTTATTTAAACATTTCTTTAATTTTTGGTATTTTTTCTAAACGAATAAAAAAAATTTAAATGTCTACTTTCAGGCGCGTTCGGAAACAAAAGTCTTCCTCCAATCCACCATTAGCGACTATTACTCCACACAAGAGAACATGGACGCGGTCACACTGATGTGGAATCAGCTGATGAGTCAAATGGGTTGTTGTGGCGTAAATGATTATCGCGATTTCGAAGGTTCACTCGCCTGGGTCAGCAATAAGGGCAATCGTACATTACCCGAGGCGTGCTGTATGCTGAAGGATGTAGGTGAATTGTTGCCGCGTGACGATGATTGTGTGACAAATCCCAGCGAAAGCAATAGCTACTACAAGAAGGTAATTTCATAAATGGAAATTATGCACTTGAGAAACATTTTGTTGTATTTTATTTAATTTTTTCTTCTGCTTTTCTTCCTTGTAGGGTTGCTATGAGATCTTCACCGAATGGATTATATCCCACCGCGAAATCATAATTGGCGTGCTCTTGGGCGTGGGCATTGTGCATTTATTCGCAATTTTCTTGGCTTTTTGCCTGTGCAAGGCATTCGCCAAGTATCACGGCATGCGGCTGTAAGAGGGGTAAACTTTGAAGATTGCGTGCTCGAATTAAGGCAGTGAGCACCACATCTCGCACTATGACTACTAAATAGTTAGTGAAGTTTTCAAAAGGACGTTGTGGCAAAAGAAAAACAAAAGACTCTAAACATTTTTTCTAAGCCATTTACTTTTTTAAATTGTTTAATTGTTTATTGATTTTTTAATTGAAAAAAAAAATTATAATAATTGGGCAAATTTTGTAAAATATTTCTCTTTTACAACTGTAATAAGTCGTTGTTTATATTGTTTTTGTAAAACTTTACAAAATATTTATGCATAATTTACAAATATACATATGTATGTATGCATTGATATATTTACATGTAAATGAATTAAACGAGTATTGTGAATTTTTACCAATAATTAACAATGATTGAAATAATAGCAAGGAAAATTTATAAAAATACGTTGATGCGCCTTAAACTAGGCAACACAAAATGTATGGCATTGTTATATTGAGTGTATTTCCAGCGCAATTTACTTGCATATTTCTGGGCGCATTTACATATCTACATACATACATATATTTACATCCGCTCATAACTCAAATGAAATAATATAAAATTAACAATTGAAAGAAAAAAATGAAATTAAAAAATTTATTACAAAAATATTAAAAAAAAAACAATTAAATTTGAAAATAATATTAACAATAATAATACGATTTAAGACTTGATATTAAGTAAATTTTAAGTATTTTTCTTTTTTAATTTAAAGTATATACTTGGTAAATAAAGTCTTATGAAATCTGTACGCGTTAGCAGTACATACATAAGTATGTTAATAAGTATATGCTCTCCACTGAATACATCACAAAACAATTGTAGAACATATCTTCATGAAGAATACTTACAAATAAATGTCAATGTATCAATACAAAACATTTTCAAATTAAAGACAAAAGTTAAAAAAAAATTAAGAACTAAAAATGAAGAAAAATAAAAACTATGATTTTTTATATTAATAATAATAAACATATATATATATATATATATATATATATATTTATATAATTATACATATATACTATGTACATATATATTACTTTATATTTAAAAAGTAGTAAAGTGCAATTTGAAATTCACCACACACCATAAAATACATACATTTAAGTGATTACAAGGTGTATTTTTAGAATTTTAAAAAAATTTAAAAAGTCGATTCTTGAAATTTCAAAATATTTAAGCATATTTTCTCAAAATTTTTGAAAGCCAAATTAAATATATATTTATTTTCGTAGTTATATCTGCATACAAGCAAAATTTACAACCAATTTAATATCCATGATACAATAATTTGAAGGTAGTTTCACTCTTTCTCTACGCAGTCGGCCTCATAGCTATCTGACATTAAATGTGTTTCGGTTTTTTCCTGCTGTTCTCTTCTCTTAAAAAAAGTGTACCAATTTTATTAAAAAACATATGTAAAATTTCATATTTTTTAATCCGGTTTTTATTGTATTTTTCAACCGTTGACACTTGACTTTATCGAGTGTAAGCCTCTTGTTATTGATGCCCAGAGATGCAAGCACTACTAAGCAATCAAAGAAGAAATTTCCGGAAAATCGATAACGAGAGCTTGACAAAAAAGTGGTTTGAGAATTAGCCCATCCTTCTGAACAGGACTTTTCGCATTTGGTTGAGAAAACTTATGAGTCCAAGTTTCGAAAACAAGTAAAAAATGTCAGCTGTTTCCATTTTATTTATAATAAAAAGCAGCTGAAAAATCCTTTTCTTACATCAGCTGAAGTAAAAAACAGCTTGAAACGAATATTTCAACAGATACAAACGTGTATTCAATATTATAGGATCTGCTTGGAAAATAACCCCAAAAATAATTAAAAAATCTCCAAGTTGAATATTTTTTATGTGACAAGTGCAGACATTTCTGAGCAAATACGTTTAGTGTCGGTAATTTTGAAATGAAACTATCTCATAGAATTTTTGTATCACGTTAATGTCTATAAATTTTCAGAGTTATCTACATACATACATATGTGCAACTCCACATGAAAGCAAAGATTTAACTATATACATACATATGTATGTGTAAACTGGGACTGAAAATTTTTTTCGTTTCTCTCTCAAAAATGAGTTTTCGAATTTAATGTACGCAATTTCTCAGAAATGACTCAAGCGAACTGCTTTTAAGTGACTACTTACATATTCATATGTATTTCTCAAATATTAGTCGAAATGCTCCAAGAATTTATTCACAATTAGGCATGCCTGTCGTAAGAGGCGACTAGTTCTACCGACTTTCGATTCTTGATAACAGAACGACAAGAATTTTTTATTTTGTAGTTACAACAAAAACAAAAAAACTTTTCTAATATTTTATAAGATTTTTTAAAAACTCTTAAAATGGTCAGAAAAAATTGTAAGAAAAAAATTAATTTTTATTACTTCTTCAAATGGATTTTCTAAGAACATTTTCGAGAAGCTCGGGCGATTCGAACTTTTTGGAGCATTTTTAAGAATTTTGAATAAAAAATTTAACTTTATTCCCAGAAGTTTCTTCTATAATTTTTATTTTATTTTTGCAACGTATGGAGCCAATTGAAATACTAAAGAAATTTTTACAAGCAAAACTGAAATTTAAAAATAGTTGAAAATAGTTGGATCATTTGAGCAACGATCGAGTATCAAGCGAGTATCGAACTGCTCACAGTGCTCCATACCCGGTTATTTACATTTCTATTATGTATTAATGAATGCCCATCATAAAAATACCAAAACATAATACCCAAATAATAATAATCCAAAACGCTGAGGCCAAGGTCTTTATTTTGGAGGGTTCGTTTGGGGAACATCAACAACAAAAGAAGTGCACTAAACTATTTTTAAATGCTATCAAATTCGCCTAATTCTTTTTTATACAGCTTACAACTCTGGGCAAATCGGAATCAGCCTAAAGTCAATTATAAATATGTTTGTATGTGTATTCTCTACAAAGTCTATTTGAAAATTCGAAGTGAATAATTAACAGGATAAATTTCCAAAAAAAAAAAATCAATAAGAGTTAATATGTACGTATGTATGTAAAATCTTAAAATCTCTGACATCTTTCCTTTAACAGCAAAGAAGGAAGCCTACTTTACAAGCATTTTTTACAACTACTTTATTATGATTTATTGTTATTCATATATATTTATCATTTTCTTAATTTTTCATGCAATTTTTCTTTTCTTCACACTTTTTGGTATAAAAAAATGTTAACTTCTATTTGTCTCCACCCTGCGATTAATTTTTGCATTTTCATGTAAAAATTATATGAAAATTTTAGAATTTCATAGAAACTGAAATTCCGTTTAATTGCAGAAATAAAAATTAACCTAATTTTTCTGCAACGACTTGACTGCTCTCATTTATCTGCAATTTCTGAAATTAGATTTCCATTGCAGAAATAAATTTAATTTAAACTGAAACTTGAAGAAATAAAAATTGCACTCATTTATCTGCCAATTGCTTTCTGAAATTTATTTCCCATTGCAGAAATAAATTTAAGTTAAATTGAAATTTCATATAATTGCAAAAATAAAAATTGCAACGTCTGACTGCACTCATTTATCTGCAATTTCTGAAATTAAATTTCCATTGCAGAAATAAATTGTATTTAAACTAAAACTTGCAGAAATAAAAATTGCACTCATTTATCTGCAATTTGCTTTCTGAAATAAATTTCATTGCAAGTGAAATTTCATAAAATTGCAGAAATAAAAATTGCAACGTCTGACTGCACTCATTTAACTGCAATTTGTTTCTGAAAATAAATTTCCATAGCAGAAATAAATTTCATAGAAACTGAAATTTCATAAAATTGCAGAAATAAAAATTGCAACGTCTGACTGCACTCATTTATCTGCAATTTGCTTTCTGAAAATAAATTTCCTTTTGCTCGTGCTGCAACTAGCAAAGTTTATTTTACTTCAAATTGCTGTCCAAGGTTTTCTTACTGTCAAAAAGTTTTCTGTTAATTGAAATTCAAATTTGCATGAAATTTTCTATGCTACGTGTGACTGCTCTCGAAATATATCATTTTTTTATACAATTTTAAAATTATTTTCTAATAAATAGATTTTCGTTCAAAAATATTTTGGACAAACTTTTTATAACTTTGTTTTCAAAATTTCATACATATGTACATATATAAATAATATAAATGATAAGAATTCACACAATTTAAACATTATAAATTCTCTTTGAGAAACCACTATTTAAATATAATTGTTCTTGATCGAAAAAAAAAATCTTTCAAAATTGTATTTCTTTGAATCAGATCTTAAAAATAAAGAGGTTTTCTAAATATACACTGTTTGTTCGAAAAATTCAAAAATGGTTGTTAAATTTGATTAATATCGTTTTACAATTTTAAGGTACATAAACATAATTTAAATTAATTTTAAGCACATTTTTTAACAAATTTTTCGTAAATGCAATTTTAACTGTTTGTAAATTTTGTAAACAAATAAAATCTCTCCTTCCTCTATGGTGCATGAAAAAGTAAAGAAAATGCAATTAAATTTAATTTCCAAAAATATATTAAATGTACATATATATGTTTCTGTGGGTATGATGTTAATAATTCGCCTCTACAAAAAAAAATTATTAAAAATATTTTTTTTTTTTTTTGTAACATAAAACTGTTATTTCTTTACATTCAGTCAAAATTAAATTAATAAAAGTACCATGGATTATGAATATCCTTACATACACCTCACATATCTGAAGTTGAAAATACAGTTCTGAACATTGTAATTCATATACATACGTACATATACTTACATATATATTCGTAATATATATATATATATATAGATATATGTGAGCCAACAATTTTTTTGGTAGAATTAGCCAAATTTTTGAAGATTTTTTAATTTAATTTTTTATATTTTAATTTTACATAAGATAAAACTTTTTTCATTAAACCTAAAAATATGTTAAACATGTTGTTGTATATTTTATAACATTTACATACAAATTTATGTATGTAATAATAATAATTTTGCATGTATGTAGGCAACCAATATTTCTTGAAAAATGTCACTAGATACATATTTAATAAACACACCTGTATGTATGTACATATATAAGCAAAAAAAAAAAAAACAAAAATAAAAAAAGAAAAAACAATTTGCTAAAGAGTTTTTAAAAA